AGAGACCAGAGGAGGCGTCACTCAGACTACAGTTCATGTTGGCAGCAGAGAGCATTGTGGGAGTTTAGCTAGCACCATGCCAGCCCATTCGTGTCACTGCTGAACCTGCTGTACTTCTGTTGCAGGTGAAGATACTAGCAGCTCCTCTCCCCCTCCAGCTGATGACCACGAGTACGCCCGACCGCCATCTCCGCCTCCTGGTGCCGCCCCAGCAGCAGAGGGTGGAATCAGGAAGCAGCTCCGCAGCCAGAGGAGGAAGGACGTTGTCCCAGCAACCGCAGAGCCTCCCCTGCAGTGCTCACTGTGCGGCATGCTGTTTCCAAACGCCGAGCGACTCGCCGACCACATGAAGAAATCTCACCCGGCGTGCTCTGTGTGCGGCATGCTGTTCACCGGCATCCTGAAGCTGCGCAACCACGAGATCAGAGAGCACGGGCTGCTGCCATACACCTGCGACTATTGTCCAAAGAGGTTCAACCACAAGACTCACCGCAACCTGCACGTTAAGGCGCGACACACCGGCGAGAAGACGTGCCACTGCGACATCTGCGGGAAGGGCTACTCCTGCATCAGCGTGCTCAAGACGCACAGGATGACACACTTTGACAAGACGTTCATCTGCGACATCTGCGGGAAGGGTTTCTACCACGCCTGCCACCTGACGCGCCACAAGCTGGTGCACCAGGAGGTGCGACCGTACCGCTGCTCCACGTGCGGCAAAGGCTTCACACAGGCCGCCAACCTGCGCAGCCACCAGCTGACCCACACTGGAGAGAGGCAGCTCTGCTCCGTCTGCGGAAAGAGCTTCCGCTGCCTGAAGAACCACGTCATCAGCAAACACTCGCACGAGCTGCCGGCCGATGAGCTGCCGGCCGGAGACTCCATCATCAGCTGTGAGGTTTGCGGGAAGAAGTTTCCCAACCCGTCACAGTACCGGGTGCACCAGAGGAGCCACACTGGGGAGAAACCCTTCCACTGCGACATCTGTGGCAAGAGCTACCGGTTGAAGGAACTGCTGCGGGACCACCGTTACACCCACACCGGAGAGAAACCCTACCGCTGCTCACTGTGCTCCAAGACCTTCAACCTGGCCACCAGCTTCATGAGGCACCGCAGCATCCACACCGGGGAGACACCATACAGCTGCCGTGACTGTGGAAAACACTTTCGCCTTCTCACCTTCCTCAAGGCTCACCTGCAGACCAAAGCTCACCTGAAGCAGATACAGCAGAGGCTGGCAGGCGACCCCCACCTCTGATCTCTAAGGTACGGACCATACAGCACTTCCTCTTAGGTGGACATCATGGTCCAGACCGCCTGTCAGATGAGGAGGGCGGTGGATGGTGCATTCGCTGCCACCGCCGAGCTTTACTGATGGTGATGTCAGCATCTCCCACATGTGTTCTGATAAGTTCTAGTCCACATCTAATCGTGTGTTTGTGTTTGACATTCATGTTTTTCTCGTCGTCTCTCTCCCATGAAGCTCTTTCGGGGGTTTGTGGCTGTTTTTTGTTCATTTTCTATTTAGTTTTTTCTGTAGTTTTTTGTATTTGTTCTTATTTTATAACATTTGTCTTCTTTGTTTTATTTTCACCTACATGTGTAAAATGTTGAGTTTTATAGTTTTTATTTACATTTAATATATCAGTGTTTCATATTTAACATTCATTTTCTGTTCTGTTTGATTAAGAATATTTAAATTTTCAGGTTTTAAAATGTGTTTTGTTTTTTTATTTAAAGTTTTATAAAAATAAAAATGTTAGAAATGACTTTCTTTGATCTTTCATCACCTGATGTGTTAATTTTTCTTCTTATTTTTATTTTTCGTCTCTCCAGTGGATCTGAAGCCTCACCGCAGAGTCGGGCAGATGGTGACCGATCGATCGATCGATCGATTGATCGATCGATCGATTGATCGGCTGCAGATCTTCATGGACTCAGATGTTTTATCTCCTCGGAGGAAATCAGAACTTTCCTGAGCTTCATCGAACACGACAGGATTCCAACATGGTGGACTTTGTTCAGACTGTCTGGTTCAGAGACCCGGTCTGGTAGTACCTGGTTCTGA